ATGGTTTTCCTTCTTTCAAAGGTCACATCCTTTTGGCTTGGGTGCTACCCTTGTCTCGTAAGAATTTAATCTTCTAGGCGCTGAATCTCGGCCTTGTTGTGCAGGGACTGTTCCCTCAAGGATAGCGTGAGCTTTGAAAGTTTGGAGGAGCACATGTCCCCGACATTTCTAACGCCGTGAGTCAACCCTGGATGGCGCATTGAAGTTCACGGATATCTGACCCAGATTCCTGAAGAACGGACTGCACATTGAAAAGTATTTTTAATTGGCTATTTACTAACAACCACTAGTTTTCGAAACGCTCAGTTAGGTTAACCCAGGCTGGGCGGAGTTCGAAACTATAGTGTGTGCATCGACTGGCGTCAGCCTTGGATTGTTTATATAAATGGCCGTAAACAGATCCCTAAAGGTCGGCCAGCGCAGGCAGTCTCTGGTGAAAACCTCGGAATCGCACGGAGGCAGTCGACAGCCAGAGGAAATGTAGGACTGGATAGGAACAGCTTGAACTTGGGGAGCTTTGGCTATCATATCCGCGATCTTAGCCCCACATCTCTCGTAAACGGAATAGCAGTAGCCGAATTTAGCTTTAAGAATTGGCAAACTATCAGCTGCATTGTCTCCGGCTTCTGCTATGCACCCGGTGCATTTGTCGTTCTCTGCCTTGATGCGGTCCATAACGCGCATATTTCTTTGCGGCGAATGTTAAGCATGGAAACAGTGGGAGGGATCGGCGAAGGAGTGGATTCAAATTCACTCAGTCGATCTGAGACCTCAATAAATTTGTTTAGAGCAATCCGGAAAGCTGTTAATGCCATTTTGACGTTTGCACGGGTGACCGCTTTTCGGGGCGACGAGGACTTACCAGTTAGTTCGGGTGTGGACGGATCTACGGATATGCCTGGGACTACTGCAGGTGGAATAGATATCTTGTTGTTATCACTTCCAACGAACATGCAAGTGGACACTTTTTGGGTCAGAATATGCTCGCTTTATTTAAATAGAAAATTTTGACCACTTCTGGAACGGTGGAACGAGGTGTCGACAAGAAAAGAGTCGTGGCTCGGAAGAAATAGAAATTGGAGCACGGACCGACCTGGTTACTTTGCGGAAGTAAACCGAATAATACGGATTAGAAACGGTGATGAAGGAGTTTGTATATCACCCGTGGAAAAAAACTATGGTATTTATCCTTTTTGGTATATGTATATTGTAATATGGTATAATTGGAATCGAGTTTGGTATTTTTTGAGTGCTAGTATTATTTTTGCCTTTGAAATAATTTTAGGGAAAAAGTACCAAATATGTATTACAGTCCCCTTACTTCGCCTTTATTTAAGAAATACCAAAACAAATACCAGAATATGCCAACAAGTTGTTGGCCAGAGGATGCTATTTGTTGATTATCTAGTACCAGTACATTCCCTTCAGTTATGCAGTAGGGACGCGGTGACATGGCTCAAGGCAAAAAGCTTTTTTTGTGCCTAAAACGCTGTGACAAATTTCGGCTGGTCCGTTATTTTTTTTTGCGTCTCTCCGTTATGTTCGGCTAGCGACTAATATTTCGGCGGAAAAATTTTCGTGGAGAAGCGACATGTGAATGCCCTAATTTTTTAGGAGCATTATTGTGTATCGAAAAAAACAACTAATATTGTTTTATAAAAGTAAACTATTTGATTATAGTAAAATTTAGTAAATTGAATTTACTTATAATGTAATATTTACTTATTATACATTCTTATTACAATATAATTTTATAGTTAAGTTTTAGAAACTTAGTCCGTTAAAATTGATTTAAGTATTTAAAACATTTAAGTATTAACATTTAAAAAGAAATCGTATTGTATTTTTTACTCAAGAAGTAAAAACTATATAGTCGGATATATTTTACTTTAGAAAGGGTATAGGTGCAGTGGCACGCGCCAACAGCGAAGAGAAAACAAAAGAAATCTAGTAAAGGGGTGAGAAGACTTGGTGCATTCTGTTTGAGTGATTGAAAGGGAAGCATCCATTTTAATGGTGCGCAGCAGAGTTACTTTAATCGTTTAGTTAATATAATAAAGTCAGGTAAGTGCTACATTAAGTTTAAGATGTTGTGCATTGATCTTAGTTTAAAGTACGTAAATTTTGAAGGTATTCAATGGGTTCCGTTAGCCGAAAGTGGATGACGAAATGTTTTGTGCCAATAAAAATTAAAATGCAACAAGCTATAAAAGGTAAATATACAATTAAACAAATAAAACGCATTTTTTAAACATATGTTTTTTCAGGAGCGTTGGCCAAGGATTCAGAGGACCCGGACAAAGGTTTAAGAACGGCGATGTCTAACGTTAAAAATAAGCTTACGAAGCAAAAAAACAGAAACAATAATTGTACAATTTTTGAAAATCTAAATAGTACCATATAATTAAAATGAATTAAAATGAAATGAATTAAATTCTATATTTTTTTAATTGAAAACTCAAGGAAAAATTCTGATTTTCACAAGTGATTCACTTGGGACGTGTCCCTTGCAAGTGATTTCACAAGTGAAAACTCAAGGAAAAATTCTGATTTTCCCAAGTGTTTCACTTGGGACGTGTCCCTTGCAAGTGATTTCACAAGTGAAAACTCAAGGAAAAATTCTGATTTTCCCAAGTGATTCACTTGGGACGAGTCACCGGCACGTGACAGGCCATACGAAAAATGAGTATAAGGAACAAGTGAAATCCCGTAGGACTTCGAAAAATTTTCATTTGAATTTTCACTTGTGAAAATGCGGACATCCCATACAATTTTCTATATGGAGCGTCACTTGTTCTTCACTTGTGCATGAGGACATGTCCCACGGGATTCACAAGGTGATTCACAAGTGAAACTTTTTTTTTTGGAACTGAAGGGTTCTTTTGATCTTATTTAATATTCCGAGGGAAGAAAAAATACTAAAATATACCAGCAACGGCTAAGAGTTTCACTAGTCGAAAAATCGTAATCTTTGTAGTCTGACCGAAGTTTTCAAAGTTCACCCGCAGTGCATGTGGCATGGTCTTACTGTCAAGCTGCTGGGCTTGTTGCCAAACGGAAAACAAATCAATTGGAGAAATTTAAAAAAGAAGAGTCTGCTGGTGCACAAATAAATTAAAATAAAAATTAATGAAATTATCAACGAATGTTTTTATTTATGTAAATTAGAAATTTTAAGCTTCCTTCTCGTCCCACGGATGCTTCGCCATCTTTTCCAAGCCACCGTGGTCCAGCTCCAAGTCCCAATGGGCATATTGGACCTTGAGGAAGTGGGAGCCGGAGGACGCGCCCGGCAGGATGTCCATGTAGAGAGCGAAGTCCCACCCGGCATGTTCCTTCCCACTGGGACTCTCTGGTGGATTTCCTACAGCACTTTAACTATTCTGTGAATTTACCCCTACGGCGGTCATCGAAATTCAATACATAAATCTGGTTTTTTTTTCTGGTATTTCCTTAGCTCATCTGAGTACCGCGCTGAAAAACTGACACGACGAAAAGCGTTAGCCTTGTAATGTCCGTCAAATTAGCGTCGGCCTGTTAGCAACGAAAGTTTAATGGCGGAATTTGGAACATGGGGGCGCTTTTTATTTTTAAATTGTCTCGCTATTTGGGGACTAAATCGAAAAATCTAAAATGCTTAATTGTTTAGAAAGAAAAGATCTATCGATCTAGGTAGGTTTGGGACACATCTGAGGCCTATTAAAATTTCAAAAATGCATTTGAAAAATCGTGTCCCACAATTTTGTTAACTGCTCCCCTCACAGAGGTTGTGCCAATATGCACGATAAGCCAAGCTTAATTCAAGCTTCTTTTCTGAAAGTTTCATCAAACCCACAGTTTTCGAGAAAATTGCCTAACAGTGACGCAACCTCGGATTTTCACCATACAAAAAAGGGGGCAAAAATGAAATTACCTACGGCTCCACTCCTAGAGGTTGTGCCAACATGCACGGTACATGGGAAGATAGGGGATAATCTAAGGAGTGTTCTGTGAAAATTTTATCAAAATCAAACCCACAGATTTTGAGAAAATTGCTTTACAGTTGGGGGTGTTAAAAAGGTTAATAAAAGGCCGTTTAATCCAGAAACTGAACCATTGGATACTAAGACATGAACCACAATGTAAATAGCTTAGCCATGACAATCATTCGACGCTAACTTTATATAACTTTATACCACTTTCACAGAGGTTGTGCCAGCTTGCACGGTATCGCATTCGAAGGGGCATCATTTTAGCTAATTTCTGAATAAATTACAGGCAATTCAAACTCACAGTTTTCGAGAAATTCAAGTATTTCCAATTATGGCTATTCGCACGCGGTCACACTGTCCAGACCAGCGAGAAATCGTATGCACCCGTGACATCAACCATCAAAATGTATATGCAAACTTTAATTAAATCATACAACTCTCACAGAGGTTGTGCCAAATTGCACGGTATCGCATTCGAAGGGGCATCTTTATAGCTAATTTCTGAGTTAATTACAGGCAATTCAAACCCACAGTTTTCGAGAAATTCAAGTATTTTTAATTATGGCTTTTGCCACGCGGTCACACTGTCCAGACCAGCGAGAAAGCGAATTCAGCCAAGACATTTATTAATCGATATATCGCCAAGTGCCAGGCTACGACCTACAGCACTTAATGAGCCAATCGAATACTTTTGGCCGCCAAATATTCAAAAATATATATTTTTTATATCAAATCTTTATTGTGATGTGTATGCACCGCCTAATTGTTATTTATTTCCTGATTATTTAAATGTATAATTCATCGAAATCGAGCCAGTGGTTTGGTAGAATTTAACATTTTATTGATTTTAGAAAAATATAAAAATTCCCTAGTTGCTATTGAGGAGTTGCCATACTGCCGAAAACAATCCCCGTCACTTTTTGCGGAACGTTCATAAAAATTGGCACGCCAAATTTTGATGATGAAATGCGTAAGCTTATTTTTGATTTTACTTATTAATTATATTAACAATAAAAATTTATTTTTCAGACAATCATCAATTTTTATCTGGGGGATTCCCAGACGGAGCCGCAACGTCGGCGGCAGCAGGAGCGCTCCGCCGACAGAGAGGAGTCGGCAAGTCGGCGCCGACGTCGTCCTGGAGACCAGGAGCGGGATGGCGAAGAGTCGCCACGTCGGCGGCATCAGGAGCGCTCCGCCGATGGAGGGGAGCCGGCAAGTCGGCGCCGACGTCGTCCTGGTGACGAGGATCGGAATGGCGATGTCGAGGAGTCGGCGCCGACGACGGAATCGCCAATTCGCTCCTGGTCGCCAGGACGACGTCGGCGCCGAGGGCGACGCCAGCGGCGACCACCGCGCCAATGGCGGAGCAACGCGGCAGGAGGAAGCCGTAGAGCAAACGAGGGAAGCCGCCCAAAACAAATAAAAACAATTACATATATATAACAATAAAAAAGATTCAACATTTAAAATTCTGTTTGTTGTAATTATTTATTTATTTATTTATATAAAGCTAGCTGAAATTTAAAGCTATATGCTAACTAAATTAAGAACATTTAAATTTTAAACTTAATTTTGGTTTTTCTGTTGTAGCGTGCTGAATACATAAATTTAATATAGTTTATTTATTTTATCGAATGTATTATAATTTTTCGTCACAATTGTTGATATCAGAAATTTTTGTTAAAGGCGCATTCGCGACTACTTTTTACCTCCTTAAGAGGTGTTTTTGTTTAATATCAGAAGTTTTTTTTTGCTCAAGAGTTTAAGTCCCCATATGGCTTGCCCAGTCGTAAGTTGCGGAACGTGTTTTAAAAAAACATAGTTCTGGGTCGTACCTTTTTTACGCAAAATAGCACGCATGCAAATTTACCCAGCAAAATGTGCGTGCTGGGGGCAGACTTTTGGGTGCCATCTGGGTGTATTTCAATATAGTGCATGCAGGTGCATTTTAGTGGGAATGTAAAAAAACCAAACTCAAACCCGAAGGTTGCCGATGCCCATTTTTTTACAATCGTCTTTTTTCGGAACTGTTCTCTTGACAAACAAATAATAAAGACAAAAGGGAACATGCAAGGAAGCGAGCGGTTTTTCTTGTCTCTTGCATTTCTCGTCAGTTGCATTTTTAGGGCTGAAAAGTGAAGTTCGTGCTACGTGTTTTGAAAAAGTTTGTTGCTTTCTGCCACCAATTTTACATCAATATTTTCACAGGTAAGTAAAGTGTAGATAATTTAGTTCAATATGAACACAATAAAATAACACAGTACATGTACACTGAACATTTAAACTAAAAACATATTAAACAAATAAAATAATAACTATTTGTATGTAAATTGTACATACAAAATAAAAATAAAGTATATTTGTAATGTATATACACATATTTCAAAATATATAATATTCAATTTGCTTTATATTTTTTAGAATCGCAAAAAATGAATGGGCACACCAAGGACTGAACTGCGTAAATGACAAAAGTACATTAACAAGAAGGAAGCACCAAAGCACCGTACAGAAGGAGAGTTACTCCGATCAAAAATTAGTTGCGTTCTTGAATATTGAAAAAAAAAAATATGAAATTGAAATCCAGTTGTATGTATTCCTGGGGAAAACTTCCAGATACTTGGTTTTTGAATGCTTCTAGGTGCATTCCTGGGTACATGTTACAGGTGCATTAAAAAAGAATACATCCAGAATGTGTTTAGTATGTTACTTCCAGGTGCATTAAAAAAGAATACACCCAGAAGGTGTTTAGTATGTTGCTTCCAGGTGCATTAAAAAAGAGTACACCCAGAATGGTTTTAGTTTGTTACTTCCAGGTGCATTCCAGACATATGCTTCCAGAAGCATGCAAGGGGTGCATTCTTTTTTGTTCCGCACCCGTGTAAAAAGAATGGACAGACTCATCACTTCCGGAACACCTTTTTGATGCCATTTCATAATGAAAGAACGCATGCTGGAATGCTGTCATTTACGACTGGGTGGCTTTGAAAAACCAAACACACAGACTCGACCCTTCCTAGCTGAACGCCACCTTAAATTAGGCACAACGAGTTGTATCGCTTCAATTACTTATTTTAATAGCACAAGTTTGAAATCTCAAGGGATTCCAAGAGAAATCTGTCGTTTCTTACATTTCCCGCCAAACTAGCGGGTTTTTCCAAAGTGATAGAACAAATAGATCAAGTTTCCTATTTCGATTAGCTTTATGCAAGTAAGGGACCCTAAAACCATAACTGATTTTCCGTTTGAAAAAAATCTAATAAGAGTATTTTTCATTAAATTGATTTCTTTTCTTGTTTATTCCAATAAGTATGAAATTTTTCGTATACTGGGCTGAATCGAGTTGCACTTTTTATCCTTAATATTTTCCAAACGGTAATTTTAAGGGCAAAAAGTGTTATATATCAAAAGTTGAGGAATCTCAAGGGCTATATGATTTGAAAAGAAATCGTTCGACTCAATTTTAAGAAAATAGTCAAAAAGTGGTTTAAAAACATAAATTTTTGTCATAACTCTAAATCTATTATATTCAGACAATTTTACTATATGAAGAGTATTTAGCAAATTCTTCAGTCGTCATCTAGCCTTCTTTGCGTTCAGACGTGCTTAAAATTCTCGCTATGTTACTTCCCCGCTGCCCCGAGTGCAATACCGATGTTACCTTGGCCCAGCTCCGCGCTTCGGATGCTGTTCGCTGTTCTTCCTTGTGCCGTCGCGCCTATCATACTTCTTGCGTAGCCCTACCGGACGATGTGCTCAAACTTTTATTAAATCCAAACATACTGTGGCAATGTGATAGCTGTGTGGTTGCGAATGATTCGCATTCTAAAATTGACGAATTTGATGATAAATTGAAAGCCCTGGAGCGCTATTATCAGGGCCTTCATAATAAATTCTTGGAGGCGTTCCCCCCTAAAGATGATGCATTGACTCAGAATTTAAATGTAAATCACAAACCTCGTCTACCGAGGCCTACCAATGCAGCTGCAGCTCCCCAGTCATATGCGGCTGCTGCTGCTACGTCTTCGGCGGTCGTTGACTTTTCTAATCATGCTCTGGATTCTGAGAGAGGAAATTTCATACAGATTCGAAATAAGAAGAGAAGGAACAACAACAAGCCCAATAAACATGTTGTTGGAGTGGCTCCTAATGCCGAAGATCTTCATGTTTTGCCGACCAAGAAATTTTTGCATGATGGAAAGTTTGCAGCTGATACAGAGCCGAATGCTGTTTTGAAATATGTGTCCACCAAGCTTAAGGTGGATACTAGTTCTCTCACTGTTGTAAAACTTGTAAAAAAAGATGTTAACGTTACATCCTTAAAGTTTGTAAATTTCAAGCTTGGTATCCCCGATCACCTTTACGATCCAGTCTTCAAAAACGATTTCTGGCCGAACTCAGTTAAGGTCAAAAGATTTATTCATAGAGAACGGGCCATTGTGGTAGGGGATGGAAACTTATCTAATTTTCCGGAGCCTGGACAAACTTCAACATCAAGTCATTCATCAAAAAACCCCTAGTGTTCGACGCCACTGGCGTCGATACTGTTCCGGGACATCTTTTGCAACCCTTTCCTCATTTGTCGGAGTCGTTTTCCCAACAACATCGGCAGCTGCTTGCCTTTCTCACTGCGCCCTTATCATCTTCTGTCTCTCCTAACGCACCATCAACAACATCAGCCGGAGCTTTTCTTGTCCGCTTTGCGCGACATTAGCTGTCCGCCTGGCTCTAATATCGGCGCGCTCCTCGGAGTTGCGCTCTCATCATCTTGCGCCTCTCTCCCGTTGCACCATCAACAACATCAGCTGGAGCTTTTGTTGTCCGCTTTGCGCGACATTCGCCGTTCGCCTGGCTCTAATATCGGCGCGCTCCTTGGAGTTGCGCTCTCATCATCTTGCGCCTCTCTCCCGAAGTACCTAGAACATCGGCTGGATTCTTACTCTTCATTAGGTTGGAACCCGCTCATTGAAAATATGTTCTCTACATATTCGCCGCTGGAGTTAAACCAACATCGGATGCTTTTCCCAATTCGACTGCACTATTTTTCCTTGGAACGACGATCTCAACCTGCCTATAAAAATACGTACGGATACGTTGCGCAAGGTACTTAATAGTACTTATGACTATACGAGGCCGACATCTAATTTGGATGTTGAGAATTCCTCTTCAACAATATGCGCTCACTGGCAACCTGCTAGGGGCTTGTCTGCAGTAAACTCAAACAGCCTACATTCAGGAAATAATGGCCTGAAAATATACTTTCAAAATATATCCGGCATGAGAACTAAAACGCAGTCTGTCTTTATGAATACTTCCAACAGTGACTATAACATTATCAAACTGGTTGAGACTTGGCTAAATTCTAACTTTAGTTCGAATGAATTCTTCGATCCTAAATTATTCCAAGTTTTTCGTAAAGGTAGAGACTTCGGCAGAATGCAGTGCGAGAGAGGAGGTGGTGTCATCGTGGTTAGCCGTAAATCCTGTTGCACTGTAATGCGACTCCTTAATGATGACTCCCTTCTGGACCAATTGGCGGTGACGGTGTCTGGCTCATCCGGGAAGATATCGGTTGTGGCTTCCTATGTTCCACCTGGAGGTGATTCTGGGCTTTACCCGGCTTACTTAGACAACATCTCTAACATCCATGCCGTTTGGAGGACTCTGATATGTGTGGCAGGGGACTTCAACCTCAGCTCTATTTTCTGGACGTGGGACCCACAAGCATCTGCTATGGTGCCCGGAAATGTTCAATATTCACATGAAATAATTGTCATTGATGACTGTTTTAGTATGGGCCTCACCCAAATTAAAATATTTTCAATGATTTGCATAAGCTGCTTGATTTAATCTTCATTAATTCTATTGTTCACTCTAACGTAACTCTGGCTGAATTTACGATTTCAAATTGTGTTGTACATCACAAACCCTTGTGCTTAAACATCGAATTTTACAGCTTTCTGCCATTAAATTATTCTTATCCTAGATATATATTTGATCCCTCTAGTTTGAGTTCTCTAAGGGATTGCCTGCTATCCTTAAATTGGGGTGCCTTGCTATCGAACCCTTGCATAGAAACTAATTATAAAACCTTTCTTTCAACGATTAGAAATACTCTTGACAGCATAGTCCGTTCCAAGATACGGGGTTTCTACAGGCTATACCAAGGGTATACTAAGGGACTGCAAAAAATCAAAAACCTTAGAAACAAATACTACAAAAAATTTTCTAAAACACATAACCTGGCCGATGGTGAAAGATATAGGCAGCAAAAACGGGAGTTTGAGTTTCTTAATAAATTTCTATATAGCCAATACATTTGTGAAGTTGAGCATAGTTTGAAGGCCAACCCTAAGGCGTTTTGGCGCTTTGTCAACTCAAAAAATCACATTCGTCTATACCTTCAACAATGTCGTATGGTGA